TTTGAGCAGGTTTATTCAGAACCGGCGGTAGCCCCCTGGGTGGCAGGCCAGGGTCTAGTTTGGTTTTTAGACACCTGGCCGTATCCCCTTAAAGGAATCTCTTTCTTCTGATTCCAAGCCTGGAGCTCTGCCCTAGGCTTGAGCTTCCTAGCCCAGCCCTCAACAGGTAGGTTATTTAGGGTTTGCAGCTCAGGCCCTTAGCCGAAGGGGATAATGTCACTGACAGCCATCAAGACGTCCTTGGAGCAACTCCCTGCCGCTCCCGATTGAGCGTCTGTGGACTGTGTGAGAGTCCTATGCTCATTTGAGCTTCATTGAGTAGCAGCCTCAGGTTGTTAGGCCTCTCACCGCCTCCCTGTTGAGCCGCTCTCCTTGTGGGTCGAGCTTAGCAGTGCCCTTGGGGGTTTCATATGAGCATGCCCCTCTCGATCTGAGCGTCCGAGTCCCCCTTCTATTTTTGAAGTTGGGCCTCCGCTCTTTTGAGCTCCGGATAGCAATCACGCCAGGTGGCTGGGCCATCTCCTACCTCCCTGGTGGGTTGCTTGTTAAGTGAGCTCGCTGTGCTCCCATCACTATGAAAGGCCTCTTGCAAGCGCGCCGCTCCCTTCTGGGCATCTATGAGCAAATGCTTTGGAGTCTGTTTTGTGAGCGTGCCACAGTCACGTAGGGCTCCTAGGCTGGTTTAATACAGCTTCAGTTACCCCTTAAGCAACGGTGTTTCTAAATCCATGCTATGGTAAGTGCATACGCTGAGCTTCTGTGCACTTTCTAAATCCACATTGTGGTAAGTGTGCACGCTAAGCATTCTGCTCACTTTCTAAAATCCTGTATGGTAAGGGTTACGCACTGTCAGCCTCGTTCCCTTTCTCTGAGTTGGTTTAGGCCCCAGTTCTCGACTTGGGCTCCACTCAACTTATGTATCTCTGTTGATACATTTCTGAGCAGGGTGTTGCTACCAAAGATCTGTGGAGTCCGTTCTTTGAGCAGGTTTATTCAGAACCGGCGGTAGCCCCCTGGGTGGCAGGCCAGGGTCTGGTTTGGTTTTTAGACACCTGGCCGTATCCCCTTAAAGAAATCTCTTTCTTCTGATTCCAAGCCTTGAGCTCTGCCCTAGGCTTGGGCTTCCTAGCCCAGCCCTTAACAGGTAAGTTATTTTAGGATATGCAGCTCAGGCCCTTGGCCGAAGGGGATAATGTCACTGACAGCCATCAAGACGTCCTTGGAGCAACTCCCATGGCCATGGTATAGTTGGTACTTAGTGCTCACCGTGGTTCTGGCATGCACTCCCCTCAGCATGGCGGTGTGGGTATACCGTTCCTCATAGCAACCCCTAGAGGACGCAGTTCGAAGTTCCCTCAGATGGGAACGTCTCAGGTTACATATGTAAACTTGATTCCCTGAGAAAGGAACGAGACACTGCCTCCTCTAGTTCCCTTGCCATGCTTCGGACAAAAGCTTCAGACGAAGAAGCGGATGACGTGTTCTCGCGGCGCCCTTTTATACTGTGGCCGCGCCGGGTGATGACATTACAGGCTGTCACCGGCCAATGTTATTGTAGTGTTTAGATGTATGCTTCAGACACTGGTCACGCTGAAGGTGTTCCCCATAGCGACCCCTAGAGGACGCAGTGTCTCATTCCCTTCTCAGGGAACCATGGTTACATATGTAACCTGAGACGTTTTATCTGTGTTCTTCAAGCCAACTTGTATTTTCATAATAATAAAGTACATTTATAATCCAACACTAATCGACTTAGCCTTTAGCCTTAGTAATTGCACTTTAGTGACAGCGCTTGCAGAGATCGAGCAGCTTTTACTACTGCAATCGTATACATTTAATAAAAAAAATCAAACTGTCTAATATTTTGAGGGCAAATTGTAATAAAAATACATTAATCCTTAGCATGACGCAGGTCACAAAATTAATGCAGACGGGCCGCCTGTTGAGTGCCCCGGCCCTATAGCTACTAACTCTCACAGAACTTTCTGCAAGTCAGTAACTTAGCCTCTGCAATTATTAAATTATATCTGGAAGGTAATTTACTCACACATTCAGTTGTTTCTCAAATAATTTTTATCAGATCAAATCAGTTTCTCAACACAACTTGCTCATCTGCAGTAGCAGATTATGCCAAATGTCCAGTAACTAGCTTGTGCTTGGAGGGATTCAAACTTATCAGGGGTAAAAGATGTGCGACCCCTCACCCATTTTCTATACCATAACAAAAACAAAACAAAACCAATAAATAAATAAGTAAACAAACAAACAAACTCTGAAGGCTGTTCGACCCAAGGCAGTACCCTAAAACTTTTTTTTTTCAAACAACACGTAATATTGCTCACTTTCTAGTTAAGCAGTTCTGGGGGCATGTATAGTATTTTTTGTTATTTATTTGTCTCAAATTTATTCATATTTTTCACTTTAAAGAAGATATGCATTTTTTCCCCCTTAATTTTTATTCATGAAGATAATTCATGGAAAATATGCCAAGCTTATACGTGGAAGATTTCTGCCACTTAAAACAAACATTTTACATATAAAAATGACATTATTTTACCACTATAAACATGGCTGCATAGGATTACTTATTGGCTTATCAGCCATTCCCACTCCCTAATATAGTTCTTTTCACTTGTTTTGCTTTTAGATTTATATTTAGACATTTAAAAAATCACTGTTGTAGCAAAAATCACTATTGTAACATTTCAAAGTCCAGCACTGTTTTGTACTGAAGTGTGAAGTAGCAAGAGTTTTTAAAAACTTAAAACTCATTGCATCTACATTAATTACACAAATGATCCATTTTGAATCTGAAAAAGTGAAATGTAAATATTTTGCATCCCTATTAACAATCTCCTTTGTTTCTTTCGAATGTAAATCGAACATTCATTCACAAACATACCACAACTTAAACATTTTTTTTTTGATAGGTTAAGCTTACCAATCTGTTTGTAACTTGGATTTGCTGTCCTTATTTTATTGCAATATTTTTCCAATTTCCGTTTTTTTTTTTTTTTTTGCACCCATGACTGTGTGTGTGACAGTAATGTTTAAGGGAGAGCAGTTGTGCTCACTTGCTAATAATTTTTGAACTAATTTCAATTTCTAAACAAAAGTTAAATACAAATGTTTGCTTTCATTATTAATTTTTTTTAACAAATAAGCTTTTATTTCTAAATGAAGTCTAAATTAATCTTAATGAAGATTTTCACAGAACGATTTGGGGAAAATGGGGCCCTACGCACTGCATATAGTGCATAGAGGTTGCGCCCCTGTGTGTGCCTATCATAAGATGATAAAGGAATACCACATCAAATGTCCAAATATCCATGGTAATACCATGGTGTCAAGTCCCACAAATCACGGTACTACACTGTAGTACTTTTTGCCACATGGTATTTTTTAATATTAACTCTAATATTCCTGTTCTAGAGATTATACACTGGTTAAATGTGATTTAAATTCGCCATGTCATAAGTCTGATCTGATTAGCTATGGGGTTTGTATTCACAAAATAGCTTAAGGTTAAAAGTAGCTTCTAACTTGCCAATTTAGGATAAACTCTTAAAAATAATGTCAGTCCTAATTTTAGGCCTTTAACATTTTTGCTGTGAAAAGTTAAATCAGACAGAGACATGTCCCCTATATCAGTCAATCACTGCGGGCATATTAAGCTTGTTGATATCATCCATGGGTCCAGGTCAACCCCACCCTTTCTCTTAGTTTAAGATTTCTCCCCGTTCCTCAGCAGCTTTGTGAACAGGTTTTAAGAGGAAACTCTTACCTAAGAACTTCTGCTATTTATGAGAACTCTTAGGGGCAAGATAAAATGTTTTGTGAATACAGGAGCAGGCTAAACACTTAGCATGGAAGTGCATTGTTTCTTCTATTGCATGATTGCAGAATGATGCTATATTATTAATATGAATATCATTAATATGAATCACTTTTTTAATCCAATGCCTGTAACCTCATAAACTGCATTAACAACTCATGCAGAAACTCAATCTTACAGTTTATTATAGCATTGCATGCATCTCAGCTACTAAACCTGTATGCAATCAAATAAAAAATAATAATAAATACAAGAATCGTATGATGTTTTTGTTGAAAAGGTCATACCATTGTTTACTCCTACGCCTCAATGGGACTAAATGGAACCAATGACAAGCAATTTTCAGTGAACATTGTATTTATTGTCAGGGTGCACGGTTACATTAAACAAAGCAAAATAAATCAAACCATCCACAAAAGAAAAAAGGCATTCTGTATACAATTCATTGTCTATTCAAGCAACAGATCATAATAAATTATGTTTGTGTTCACCAAAGACACTTAACCAAAAGATTGGATCACAAAGAAATTGACAATTTCAAGCAATTATATAATGTATCAATGGTTTTTCTGCATGTTGGGGAAAAAAAATAAAAAAAGCGGTGCTGGGGATTAAAGTTACTACATGATATAATATTTACTATTCAATACTTGATTACCAAATTATTGTGTATATACCCCTTTTTATTCTGCACATTTTCATTATCCCTTATTTATCAAATGAATCTAGGTAATACATTCTATAATTTCCCTCATTGTACAACATTGTCAGAAAATTCATCCTGATTTCCATTATACATCCAAACGAACAAATTTAAAAGTACCTCTACACAAAATAACCTTTATATAATATA